TCCTCCCATTTTTTTTATTTTATTTTAACGCTGCAACATGGGAAAAGAAAATTGCATTTTTACTTGTTTTTCCATAATTGGTGAGACTGGCTGCTTGTTTAACTCTGTGATTGTTTCTGTCTGCCCCTCTCAGGTGTACATGTACCAGCTGTTTCGCAGTCTGGCTTATATCCATTCCCAGGGCGTTTGTCACAGAGACATAAAGCCTCAGAACCTCCTGGTAGACCCAGAGACGGCCATCCTCAAGCTTTGTGACTTTGGCAGGTTGGAAAGTCGCTTCATTGTTTAGTTCTTTTTTTTGATTGCTGACTTTTAACAAAACAATTTTATTGTCTCTGACTGTCTCTTGTTTTCCCCCCTCACTCTTCAAAAACTGCGCAGTGCAAAGCAGCTAGTTCGAGGGGAGCCGAATGTGTCCTATATTTGCTCACGGTACTACCGTGCCCCAGAGCTCATATTCGGCGCCACCGACTACACGTCCAACATCGACATCTGGTCGGCCGGCTGCGTGTTAGCCGAGCTGCTGCTGGGCCAGCCCATCTTCCCCGGGGACAGCGGTGTGGACCAGTTAGTAGAGATCATTAAGGTACCGCCGCTCTGATGTCGTCTGGACAGAAAAGCTAACAAACCAGTTGATAACATGTTGCGTTAACGTACCACATGCAGGTTACCGTAGTGATAGAATGGGGGTTTTTTGAATAAGAAGTTTGTAATTCTGTTTAAATGTGTGTGCAAATCACATAGTTTAAAGCAAAATAATGAGTTTTTAGAAACAGCAGCTTATTAATTGATGTTAATAACCTGAAGTTAATAGAGTAGTTGGAAAAAAAATGGGTTTTGACTTGAGACAGGAAAATAGGAGGGTGTTTGTTTTTGCTTTATAAAATAATTTAATATGGTGACATTTTTTGTGGAAACGGCAGCTGAGGAAATGGTTTATTGTCAAACCGAGGAGACGGATGTAGATCTATTAATGCGTATATTTATCTAGTTAGTAAACCCAGTTCTTTCTACAACTTTTCCTTCAACTCTAATTGGTGAACTTAGCGAGGACATTTTTCTCCTACGTCTACAGACTTTATAACTCTCTTTCTGAGCAGATGGCTTTGTTTCAAAATCTGTTTCATCATTCAACACGACCTTCCTCCTTCACTACTATATTCCTCCAGTCTTGCTTTCCCTCCTTGTCTTTCACTTGGTCTTTCTCTCTTACCTTTGCCATTCCTTCCTTCCTCTCCATGTTCTTCCTTTCTTTGTTTTTACTTGCATTTCTTTCCCTCATTGTGCCCTCCCTTTCATACTTGGTTTCCTTTCTTTTGTTACTTTCTTGTGTGCTTCCTTACTTCCTTCCTGTTTCTTTTCTTCATGTTCTGTGTCTAAAGTGTAGGAATCCGCTATAAATTCATGGTGTTCTTTTGCAGTTTCTAAATATATTTATTGAGGACTTTGGGAAGTTGAGTCTGGAATTTGTACATGAAAATATGTAGGAACCCTGAGTTTGAATCATAAAACAATCATGGAAAAAAACGACATTTGCAAAAAAACAACTAACAAAAAAAAAAAAAAACATGGGAGTCAAAAATAAACAGCTACCAGTCAGGAGTGGAACGAGTCTATGAAACTTTTCTGATTACCGCTTTGTTACAAGAAGGAGGAGGTTTAATTTTTTTTTTTTTTTTTTGCAAGAGGCGTTTTGTCAACAATTGGTCAATATATGTAATGCACCATATAAATGGAAACCTTAATATAACTTTTTTTAATGGTCTTGATTGGTAACAAGTAATTTTCCATCCTTTTCAGGTTTTGGGGACGCCGACGAGGGAGCAGATCCGGGAGATGAACCCAAACTACACAGAGTTTAAATTCCCACAGATCAAAGCACATCCTTGGACAAAGGTTTGCTTTCTTCTGACTTCATACAATTAAACTTTTAAATCTCTGCCTATTTCCCCCCCAAATTTCCAGTTGCTTCTCTTTTGACGGGTTTTGTCTGTACACTGATGCTGACCTCCTCTCTCCTCTCAGGTGTTTAAGCCTCGCACCCCACCAGAGGCCATCGCCCTCTGCTCCCGCCTGCTGGAGTACACCCCCGTTTCCAGACTGTCTCCTCTGGAAGCGTGTGCGCACGCCTTCTTCGATGAGCTACGTCAGCCCAACACCCGCCTGCCCAGCGGACGGGAACTGCCGCCCCTTTTCAACTTCAGTCCTGTTGGTCAGTTCATTTCTGCCCTCTGCGTTCAGCCTGACCGTTTGGCAATTTACACTCGCATCATAAGTTAGCAGCCGCTGTTGTTTAATCGACTGTTTTATCTGTAATTGACAATTTGTTCCTCTCTGCTTTCAGAGCTGTCCATTCAGCCCCAGTTGAACTCCACACTCATTCCTCCTCACGCTCGTGCACAGACATCGCCTGCCTCACACGGTACAGTTAGCCGCTTTGCTTCTGCTTTCCACTTTGGTCCAACTGCATTTGTTTCTGTTTAAAGTGAAATCAAACATGGATAGATGTGAATGTTAACAGCAGCATGAAAGTCATTCATTTTGGCCTTTTAATGAATCATTTGAACCATTTTTCAGGGTGGAGTAAAAATAAAAATAAAAAATAAAAAAGCAAATAACCTGAATTATTGTCAAAAGTGAGAATTGTAAACGGAGAACCTTAATAAATGTTTAAGTCTCCCATAGCAAGTTGATCAGCAAGCAACTTGCTAATATAGCAACATAGCAAATTATCCTGAACTATAATTCAGGATAGTTGAGCCGTCTTTTTGGCAGAAAGAGTTTAATTTCACCCATTAGTTGGTTTTATGTGCAGACCGTTTTAGTTTTGTCCTTATATTTTTAATGCGGTTGAGGTCACGGCTATTACACTAGCTTGACGTAAACCTGCTTTATTCTTTTCTAAACCAGTTGTGATGTGTTTGGGATTATTGTCTTGCAGGATTATTTAGTTCTGTCCAAATTTCAAACCATCTGACCCAAACTATCGAAGTTGGTCAGGATTTTTGGGAAAAGCCCAGGATCACAACAGGCCGACATTTGGCTTCTATAAACACACTGACCACATGCTGAAAACTAATCATGATTTCGCTAAAAGAGTGAAAAATATCAAACAATTTAAAGAAGCTCTACTATAAAGAATGGATGGATATAGGTGGAAACAGCAGCATAAAGACTCACAGTTCACTGAAACAACACATTCAGACTAGTAATTAAGCAAAAACTGTAAAAAAAAAAAAAAAAAGATAAAAAATCTTTGTCCGTAATGTTGCTGCGTTTGGTTCAAATTATTGCAAAAAATTTCTAATCCTTAGTTGAATTATTTGAATCTATCACTAACATGCTAAAAGCTTGTGAAATGCTGGAAATCGCTCTGAAAAATGCAACAGAGGATGTTTGTTGCATCTTCATTCCACCCTGAAAAAACAACAAAAAAAAACACCTTCAGCTTCAAATTAATGACTTTTATGGCAGAGATGAGAGGATGTGAACCGACTGCAGCGTGTTCGAAATCTGACCTGTGAATAGTAATTCTGGCTTTTCCCCTGCAGAGGGCAGCGTGTCGGACAGTACCGCCCAGCCCAGCTCAGCACCCGGATCCATCAACAACAGCACCTGAGCATCCATCCCTCTATCACAAATTTCAGTTTCGTCTTCCCCAATTATTTCTTCCTCCCCGCCCCCACATCCTTTTTTTTTTCTTCCCCCTGCTCCTCTCCCTCTAAAAACTTCGTCCAGGCTCCAACCTTTAAAGTAGAAAAAGATAACCAAACTCACTCAACTTAAACGCTCTGCATTTGTATCTTTTCCAAAACTATTCCTGTAGAAAGCGGCTGCTGCGGCCGCTTGCTTCATGAAGCTGTGGGTTGTTTTATCGGCGTTTTGTAGCTGCCCTTTGGTTTAATGGAAGCTGCAGTTCAAATGGGCGAATAAAAAGTCAAAGTCGGTAGGATAAGGAGAAGTCTTCTACACATTCTGGGGTTTCTGTATTGAAATCAACAGCTGACTTTTATTATTCTTTTTTTCTTTTTTAAATGTATTTAATTTGCATTAAAATATTTTAGAAATGGCCACTGATTTGACTTTTGATTGGCTTTGGAGTTGAGATGACGAGGAGTATTCACAGCTTGATTTTTGACAATCATCCCAACCAGAGCTCAGCGTTTATAGAAGATCCTCTTCCGTTGCTTTCCAAAAATGTCCAAACAGTTATTTTAACATTATAGTCTCTCACCGGAGAAACCTTTTAAACGAGAGCTGGTTTTAATGATAGTACAGAAACTGAGCGCCACTGCTGTTTACCGCTTTGTTTTCGTGCTTTAGCTCCTTAAACTGCCTTTTTTTTTTTCCCTGCGACGAGGAGGAAGCGTGTTTGAGCAGAGTTTGCGCTGCTTCAGGTTTGTCGTTTATAAGCTTCGTTTGTCAAGCTGGAAAAGCGGAGTGGTTGGTGTTGATTCTCAGTAAGTATTGCACATCTCCAGGCGGGAGTGGAAGGAAGCAAAGGGGCCAGTTTTTAACGTCGCACAGAGGAGAGAGAGCCTCTGCCGCGGGGCTACGGTCGCATCTAAAACACGAGCCTCGGCGCCTGCCACGCGTCGAGGCGCAGCGCCGCGTTAATTATGTTGCTGTACAGTGTTGCGTCTCACATCGGCTCGATTATGTTAAAAGACTGACATCAGGTGCAGGGGGCCGCTCATATCATGTTGCTCTTTGAATGCATTGCTAAGCTAACAGTCCGCTGTCAGTACGAGATGGGTTTCTTTCTTTCGGAAAAAGACAAAAAAAGACAAAAAAAAACAAAAACAACATAGACGTGCATGTTCAGTTCAAGCTGACCCGACTGATATGTTATAATCTGACCAGATGTTATGCTCAAACCCCCTGGAAAATCCCGACAGCTTTCGGAGCCTCCCCCTCTTCCATTCCTCCTCTTCCTCCCACTTTTCCCTCCTTTTTTTCACAGCTGAACTGTAAATATATCAAGTACCTTTTATTTTGTTATTTTTTGTTATTATTGTTATTATATTGTTGTTCTTGTAATTTTCTTTTCTTTTCTGTAGTAGACCGGCCCAGCAGCAGCAGCAGCCGGACTGTTTATCCTCAGTCGCAGTCTGTAAATACAGTTTCATTTCAGTCCCTTGTTCAGAAAGGGGAGAAAAACAGAACAAAATGTTTCATTTTTATTCTCTCTCTTCCTCCATTCCTCGCCTCCACTTTCCCTCGTCCTCCATTAATGTTGTCATGACTGTTTTATTTATTGTACTGTTTTTAGGGGAGGGCTGGGGACTTTCTCATTGGATTTTTATTTTTCAAATCCAAGTTGGTTCTGTCAGATGCAAAATAATTTCACATCCAAGATACTGTACTGATTTACGGTCCTGTATGTATGCAGGTGCACTTGCGAACCGATTCTGGTTTTCCATTAAACTTCAATGTGAAGGGAATGTTACAAGCCTCTGTATACGTGGGGCCCGTATGTGTGTGTGTGTGTGTTTTAGGGAGTGGATGTGGGCACAAATCAAATTGTGTGTATGTGTGTGTGGAGGAAAAGGGAAAAACGAATCAATCTAGAAGACATGTATCATCTCCTTTGTCTGACGGTGAGCTGTTTTTGCTTTCTGTGTGTAAAAGTTTTGACCTGTCAGTCAAGTTTGTAATCTTCACAGATGGAAAGTTTGAGCAGGGAATGTGTGTGTGTGTGCGTGTGTGTGTGTGGCGCGCTGACTGACCATAAACGTTCTCCTACATGAAGAGCTAGCTAATCATGTTTTTTTTAATCCCCCCGCAATTTCCTGAGTTGTGACACTTTATTTGCGGTGACCCTTTTATTGCCCCTTTTTTTTAAGAGGGTAACATGTCATTACTGGGGACAGTGCCGTTTGATAAAGGAGATGATGATGATGAAAAATGAGGGATGGAGGGAGAGAGACAGTTTTTGTTTGTTGGTATAAATAATTAAACTCATTAATAAAGTGATGAAACTGTCTCTGCTTCACATTCATAACTGACTGGCTTCTGAAATACAGTCATGGCAGAGGATGCACCATGTAATGACACCAGGTGATTGTGTTTTTATCACAAAGAAGTACAAAATTACCGTAAGTTACATGGCCGGCCACATTTCTCGGATTTTGGGATTTTTGTGATCAATTTAAATAATTTTGGAGCGACTACCTTAGCGAACAAGTTGCAGAAGTTTACATTTATTGTGGGTAATCGTAGTTAAAAAGATGCATTACTTATGTAGTTAAGAAATTTAAATATTTTGGTGTCTAATTCATTTTTTGTTCATCTGTGGGAAAGAGTGTGAGTTAATTGGACTTTTTGCAAACAGAAGAGACTAAAATGTGTTTATCTTAATGTGAGACACCTTATCCCTTAAATTAGGAGTCTGCAATAGTGTATAGTGATTTTTAGAGCCTCGTGTGACACTTTAGGCCATCTTAAAAAACTAATAATGATTCTGGGCCAAACTGATTTAAATATAAAAGTAATTCTATACATTTTAGATGATTTTTTTTTATTATTATTTCTAACATTGTAGCTTAGCAGTTATTCTTCAGGAATCATGCAGATGACTGGGACTTGTCCAGTAAAGATGAAGTGTGCGATTAATGGTCGTCATGTGGATAAGTTCACCCACCTGAGCTGTGGATCCTGGCAGCTCCTCCAGACTTCCCACCGGCCTCTTGGCTGGTTGTATTATAAATGTTCTCTTTGCACCGGACAGTTCAGGTGGATGGCCATGTTGGTAAGTTGTGCCATACACTTCAAAGCTGTTTTATAACCCAGTCCTATTTAAACTTCCTGCTTCTTGGTCTTCATGATGCTGATTGTTCACTAATGTCCTCTTAACAAACCTCTGAGGCTTTAACAGAACAGCTGCATTTCTACTACAAACCGGATTCCAAAAAAGTTGGGACACTAAACATATTGTGAATAAAAACTGAATGCAATGATGTGGAGATGGCAAATGTCAATATTTTATTCATAATAGAACATAGATGGCAGATCAAAGTTTAATCTGAGTAAATGTAACATTTTAAAGGAAAAATATGTTGATTAAAAATTTCACCGTGTCTACAAATCCCAAAAAAGTTGGGACAAGTAGCAATAAGTGGCTGGAAAAAGGAAATTGAACATATAACAAACAGACCAATTAACACTAATTAGGTCAATTGACAACATGATTGGGTATAAAAAGAGCTTCTTAGAGTGTCAGTGTCTCTGAAGCCAAGATGGTAAGAGGATCACCAATTCCACCATTGTTGCGCAGAAAGATAGTGCAGCAATACCAGAATGGTGTTACCCAGCGTAAAATAGCAAAGACTTTTAAGTTATCATCATCAACCGTGCATAACATCATCAAAAGATTCAGAGAATTTGGAACAATCGCTGTGCGTAAGGGTCAAGGCTGTAAAACTCTACTGGATGCTCGTGATCTCCGGGCCCTTAAACGTCACTGCACCTCAAACAGGAATGCCACTGTCAAGGAAATAACAGCATGGGCTCAGGAATACTTCCAGAAAGCATCGTCAGTGAACACAATCCACCGTCCCATCCGCCGCTGCCAGCTGAAACTCTACAGTGCAAAGAGGAAGCCATTTCTAAGCAAGCTCCACAAGCTCAGCCGTTTGCACTGGGCCAGGAGTCATTTAAAATGGAGTGAGGCAAAATGAACGACTGTTCTGTGGTCAGATGAGTCACGATTTGAAGTTCTTTATGGAAGACTGGGATGCCATGTCATCCGGACCAGAGAGGACAAGGATAACCCAGGTTGTTATCAACGCTCTGTTCAGAAGCTGCATCACTGATGGTATGGGGTTGCATGAGTGCTTGTGGCCTCGGCAGCTTGCATGTCTGGAAAGGCACCATTAATGCAGAGAACTATGTTCAGGTTCTAGAACATATGCTCCCATCTAGACGTCATCTCTTTCAGGGAAGACCCTGCATTTTTCACAAAGATAATGCCAGACCACATTCTGCAGCAATCACAACATCATGGTAGGAGAAGGATCCGGGCACTGAAATGTCCAGCCTGCAGTCCAGATCTTTCAACTATAGAGAACATTTGGTGCATCATAAAGAGGAAGGTGCGACAAAGAAGGCCCAAGACGATTAACAGTTAGAGGCCTGTATTAGACATGAATGGGAGAACATTCCTATTTCTAAACTTGAGAAACTGGTCTCCTCTGTCCCCAGACATCTGTTGAGGGTTGTAAGGGGAGATGCCACACAGTGGTAAAAATGGCCTTGTCCCAACTTTTTTGGGATTTGTTGACGTCATGAAATTTTGAAACAACATATTTTTCCCTTAAAATGATACATTCTCTCAGTTTAAACTTTTGATCTGTGATTTGTGTTCTATTGTGAATAAAATATTAGATGTTGGGACCTCCACATCACTGCATTCAGTTTTTATTCACAATTTGTTTAGTGTCCCAACTTTTTTGGAATCCGGTTTATATGTTGCTGGTGAAACTTCACCATTATCATTTCAAAATATTCCTTAAGTGACTCTTTGATTTCTT